CCGCGACCCGGTCAACCGCGACCCGCGGCGCCGGACGCGATGCCGAGGCGCTACCGGAAGCACCGCCGCCGACGCCATCACCAGCCCGCACCACCACCATGCCGCCCAGCCGCGAGATCTGGCCCATGCCATACCCCACACGCAGGGGACGAAGGAGCCCCGCCGCCGCCGGTGACGCCCCTTGGCGGTGATGAGGGTGGAGGAGGAAGGGGGAGGGGGGTGTGGCGGCGGGGATCAGGAACCCTCCCCGACGCCTCGCGGGTGGCGGCGGGGGAGGGAGGGTTCATGGTAGGAAATGCTTCATCTGCCACATGATTTTCCTGCCCTTTCTTCTTCCCACAAAAATAGTAGCACTAGTTTCAGTCAATGGTACAAAGTTTAGTTTCCTCTTGAATTGTGACTTCGAGAGGAAACTAAACTTTGTATACAACACATTCATGCCCGACGTGTTTGGGTCACTGGAGATTTCCTGGAGTTGCATTGGAGCGTGACGAATGGCGAGAGCGAGCTCGGAAAATTTGCACGGCCGGGATGTGTTCGTTTAGGATATGGACGGTAGATTTTACGCGCGATTAAAAGCAACTTGAATGGAAAAAGAAACCGGAACAAGATTCGGGATTGAACCCGACGTGAATCGAACACGCAACCTTCTGATCTGGAGTCAGACGCGCTACCATTGCGCCACGGATCCGGTGTGCTTATAGCAACAGATTATGCTATAAGAGCAACTCGTACGATGTTATATAATGCCTTCATATGGATTTGTAGCCCGTCTGTCCTATGCGTAAACACAAACGTGTTGCCTGTATAAATTCCCCTTTTTATCATTTTCTTCAATTTTATAGGGGCAATTTAAGCTGAATTTAATCTAACCAAAGACAACAGCTATACTCAGTGGCCAAAATATGTCGCTTACATATAATTAATTAGTGATTTGAAATGGCGTCTATCAAGATTTTCAAAATATGCAATGTCGCTATTCAGCATTGCTACCTACACTAGTCAGTTGTCGGCGCCGTCTAGTCATCCTCCTCCAAGCGATCGCTGAGGAAGATGTAGGGGCCGGACTCACGAGCGACAGACTCGAGTTGTCGCTGCTCCTCCTCTCGTTGTTGCGAGCTTCTAGGGCGGAGAACTGCATCACAGCATCAACTGACTCCGACTCCGACTCCGGCTTCGGAGGAGCCTCGGTGGGGACGCCGCCATCGGCAAATCCGGTCGAAGACGGCCACAATAAGAATTTTCATCCTGGTTGCCGAAACCAGCCACCAAAGGCTAGCACATTGGCAAGGAGACTCGCTGTTTAGAACTTTCGTCGTATTTTTATGTGTTGCACTAACCAAATACCATCCAACATGCCCCGGTTGAAACACCTGCTTGCAAAATCACTTAACTATATATACACAAATCCAAAATGTATAAAGCTACATCTATATTTATTTAATTCGGTTTACATGAAAACGACAGTGAAAGTGTGGTGCATATGAATCCCATGTCAGATTTCAAAACGACATTCGTGATCCGGAGGGGCTTTATTTCAAGCCATACAAGAACTCTTTTTTGTTTATTTTTTGATTAAGGGAAGAAGTCGATTGGTATTTTTTTTAACACAGTACGGATGCAATCGGTCATATATACACGCATACACTCACTCCAATGAGACAATGAACACACACATGCACAGCCTACCCCTATTAGCACCTTCGGAAGACTGAGCCGGCATATCATCTTGAAATTTACGAAGTCCTTGGTACTTTTTTTTTTGCTGGAATACTAGTACGCCTAATTATATATACACGAATCCAAATGTATAAATCTACGCCCGGCGGTTTGGTTCACATAATTTGTTTTTGCTCTCGATGCAGCCTGATTAGTTCTCGAAATTGTCGTTCCGCTGTCGCAGAGACCCGAGTTGTGCTGTGTCTGAACTGAACTGACATTGGGCCGCTGTCTGCAGTGAAACTGCCGTGTTCCAGAGCAGCCAGCGTCCAGCTCTGCGCTTGCTTAACTACGTGGCCGCCGCCGATCTGTCACGATGCACCGCCGGATCGGATCACCAGCCGCCTTTGCCGATGAGCCCGCCGCTCTCGGCGCGCCGGTAGGGCCGGCGGGGGCTCTTGAGCAGCGACTTGTCCTCGATGGGGAGCCGGTAGGGCGACACCCGGAACCGCACGGCCTCGCGCCGCCGCCGCCGCTCCCTGGTGTGCACCACCCACGCCGCCACGGCCGCGGCCACCGCCACGGCCACGGCCGCCAGCGCCCGGTACACCCGGCCGCTGTGCCGCCGCAGCCCGGGGCAGCCGTCGGCGACCACGGCCTCGAACGTCCGCCGCACGAACGTGCAGTCCGCCAGCCCCGCGAGCGGCGGCCCGTAGCCCACCAGCCCCGCGCTGGCGTTCGCCACCGCCAGCGCCTGGGCGTACATCGACGGCGTGAGCCGCCCGGGCGTCGCGCACGTCTCCTGCCCCGGCGCGCCCGCCGCCTGGCACACGTGGCCCCGCCACGCCTGCGGCGCGAAGGCGGCCGGCACCTCGCCGGCGGCGCAGGGGCGGTCGGAGAGGTCGGCGCGGTAGGGGCTGCAGAGCAGCGGCACCGGCGGGCCGGACTGGTTGTAGTTGAGGGGCGGGCCGGCGCCCGGCGGGAAGGTGTTGGCGTTGGAGACGTTGGCGAGCACGTCGTTGAGGGTGGCCACCAGCTGGTGGTTCACCTCCTTGCTCCGGCGCAGCGCCTCCGAGGTCGCCGCCGCGTCGGCGCACGGGAGGATGTCGTCCAGGGCGGTGCTGTTGCTGCTGCCCGGCGGGCGGAGCACCCATTCCTCCATGGCCACGCACGTGTCCCCGACCGCGCTGAAAGGCACACGAACAGAGGCTCCTCTGTCAGTCACTTGATTGAGCAGAGCAGAGCTCCGGATCGCAGAATTCAGACAGAAATATATAAATGTTATAGGGCTCCAAAAAATATAGCACACATATTCCCTTTCATAGTGACACTTTTGGATACGACTTTACTAGTTTTCTCGTTTTGGATATGAGGCGCAATTTTTCCCTTCATGTCTTTCCATATAAATATGTTTGTTTGTTTTTTTGCGGGGATATAAATGTGTTGGTTAAAATACAAGTTACATATAAATAAGTTCCTTGATCTAACAAATCAAATGGTAGCATTTTAACCGAACCAACTGTAAAACTGAAGTACAACCTCCGTCCCAAAATTCTTGTCTTAAATTCGTCTAGATACGAATGTATCTAATACTAAAACGTTACATCCGTATTTAGATAAATCTAAGACAAAAATTTTGAGACGGAGGGAGTACTTTATAAAGAACTTTGCTTCAATACACCCCTCTAACGATGCAGATTAAAGATGAAGATTAGAAGTTACTCCTTCGGTCATAAATGGTAATATAGTCTTTGTGTTTGTCTAGGGCACATCTCGATGTGCCTTCTTTTGCATCAAATCAACCCATTTAATACGCTTGATCTAATATGGCAGAGCCATTTCACTTTTAAGGGGGTGTCCCGAAACAAAACTCCTTTATATATGATTCAAAGTTAGACAAATTTGACTCAATCATACTATAATTTAGAACTTATTAAGTACTGGATCACACAACAGAACATTTGCTCGAAGGTATGGTGTCATCACCTAATAAAACTGATTGCATAAACTGTGTTGTTGTTAATTTTTTGTGGCCGTGAAGGAAGCTTACTTGTGCAAGAGAAGGAAAACGCCGCCCAATATAAATGTTGCGGTAACGAGGATCCATCCCAGTAACACTAGGCTGCAAAGTCACACAACAATTATATTTTCTATTAGCATATAAAATATGTACTGTGAAGGTCACAGTGGAAATCAAGGAAGAACAATTAATATCACCCGCAAAAAAAGGAACAATTAGTATGCATATATGTAATTTATCTGGAGGGAAGAGGATGTTGTGCAACTTACAAGCGAACGACTGAGCTCAGGCCAGCCAACGAGAACACTGCAACAAGTTGACGACGAAAAAAATGTTATAGTAATTGTCCATAGTTTTTATTACAAGAAAGTACAAAGTTGGCTTTGTTTCTTTTTATAATTACTTGTGGGAAATTGCTAAATTTTACTAGATGACTGGGTCACCTAGAATTGCAAAAGTCAAGAAATGGATAATTTTTTTAATATATATTCACCAGAAAGTTAGGCATGCATGATTAATTCAACCAAAAACTCAAGCAACTTTTAGAAAAATATACAATTTCTGACATCATAAGCCATATGTCATTGTCGTAACGGAAAATCTCACCGAGGCCCAGGAACGCCAGCACCAGCATCACGGCCGAGACGCCGATCAGGATCTTCCTTCTGCAACCACACGCCAAGATCATCATCATCATCACCATCAGCTAATCAGTCCATGGCCTGATCGAATCGGGTCGATGGATGTTTATACGATATATACTACGTACGTGGTGTCGAGCACGGTCCGGATCTTGCGGGCGTTGCTGGCGGTGCGCGCGGCGAGCTCGTCGGCCGCGGCGCCCACCCTGCTGGCGACCTGGTCGACCTTGGCCCCGAGGTCGCGCGGCATGGCGGCGCCGCCGGACGCCTTGGCCGTCTCGATGAACCCGGCGAACCCCCGGAGGCTCGCCGCCGCGCCGTCCGACTGGCGCACCACGTAGCGCAGCGTCGCCGACGTGCTGCCGTCCAGCTTGGCCTGCCCGTCGTACAGCACCGCGCACCCGATGCTGCGAGTCTGCAGAAGTCAATCCATGGTTTCCGATTTCCATGCGCAGGATTAAACTAATGGTTCGAAGAAATACTAATGGATTACATGGCGGCGGCGGTGAAGGCGAGGAGGAGGAGGAGGGAGGCGGCGAAGGTCCCGCGCGAGTAGGAGTAGTCGTCGTCCCTGGTGGGGCTGCCGCGGCAGCACCGGCAGCAGCAGGCCACGAGCGCCGCCAGGGCGAAGCCGACGAGCCAGACCGCCGCGGCCGCGAACACCGGCGCGGCGCTGAAGGCCACCGACTGCAAGCATACGGTGCAGCATCAACGGTGAGCACAAGCGCAAGCATGAGTTCAAGACAAGTAGGTGAACTTGAAACGGGTCGACTTACGGCGATGTAGTGCCTGTCGCTGATGTTCCAGCCGCCGGCGTAGGGCCGGAGCCCGTCCAGGGGGTCCTTCCGGCGCGTCCGCTCAGCGGCCAGCGGCTCCGCCCCCGAGCAGGCGCACAAGGAGGACGCGAGGAGGAGCAGGAGGAGCGCGCGCCGGCGAGCTGACCCCGCCATGGCTTCGACGGTCAAGAGTACAAGAGATTACACTGTGCACTTGGGAGATCAATTGTAGTACATTATTACATTACATATACGCGGAAGTGAGAAGGAAAGATTGGAGCCGCTTGGAAGTGGTCGCGGTGTGGTGGTTCAATTAGATTAGCCCGGAGTAATCCCATTCCAGGTCAGGTCATAGCACTGCTGGTGATTTGGACGCGTGCATGCATGCATGGCAGCATGGGCCGGGTCGCGTCCACTGAAGCAAATGTACAGACCGTTTCGCCCGTTCGTCACCGCCAAACGCAACACGCTTTTCTGCTCGTTTGTGTGCTAGCTAAGCTTCGTCAATCCCTCCGGTCTAAATTAGTACGTGTCGTCGTCCTAGAATGCATTATTCAAGAGACACAAAGCTGTTCTATACTCCCTTCGTTTCAAAATATTTCGAGATTCAACTTTGACCATAAGTCTAACCAACGAGACCTGCTGCGACGGAAGCAAAAATTATACCGGTGAATTCATATTCAAAAAAAGTTTTCAATTATATAATTTTTGTTCCCGCCGCAGTCAGTCTCTTTAGTTAAATTGATGGTCAAAATTGAATCTCAGAAAGCGCGGGCGTGCTATATTTTGAAACGGATGGAGTATTCTCTCTCGGGAAAAAAGATTGGTGGTGCTTTAGACATGACGTACGTAGCCTGAAAATGGACCGTGAGTGTATGCAACATATGATTTTCAGGTTTTCAGTCTAAATAGTTAAGACGTTGTCGGGCCGGGATGAAAATTCTAAAACAAGCCGAACGACGCTGACTTGCGGGCAAGCGCTTGGATCCTTCATAGCTTTGGAGAGGCTTCGGGCCTTGCAGTGAATCTCTCCAAAAGCATGGCATTGCCCATCCGATGCAACACAGTTGACATGAAAAGAGTGGAGCAGATCCTGGGATGCCCGACGGGCACATATCCTTGCAAATACCTCGGCCTCCCGCTTACAATAAAAAAGCAAACATCGGCTCAGCTCATGGGGCTCGTGGACTGTCTCGCACGCAAGCTGCCAACTTGGAGGGCCTCCTCCATGCCAAAGAGCGGCCTTCTTCTTCTAATCAATCCGATCCTGTGTGCAACCCCGATCCGTGCAATGATGGCGCTTGACATTCCTCAGAAGGTACTCACAGCCATGGGAAAGATTTTGCGAGCGTGAACGGTGGACAGTGCAGAGTTGCCTGGGAGGCCATTTGCGCGCCCAAGTGGGCGGGTGGCCTGGGTCTTCCAAACCTTCGGTGGCTGAACATCGCCATCCAAGCCCGATGGCTTTGGCTCCAACATATTGATCAGTCGAGACCATGGGCCGAATTCCAGATCCGAGTTCCTGAGGAATCGCAGCAACTCTTCAGGGCGGCCGCAAAAACTACGCTTGGCGATGGCAAGAGCGCCCGCTTCTGGGAAGATAGGTGGCTTGCAGGTTTAACGATCCAAGATGTTGCCCCATCCATAGATGACGTCGTCGCTCCCAATGCGCGGGTTTCTCGGACGGTCCACCAGGCTGTTTCAACGGGGGACTGGGCCTTGGACATTGGTCCCGACCTCTCCAGCGAGCAGCTAAATGAATACATGAATCTGTGGGATCGGGTTACCAGCACGGCGCTCAGGCCGGACGAGCCAGACCGCACCACTTGGAGTTGGGAGGCCAATGGAGTCTACTCCACTAAGTCTGCCTACGAGGCCAGGTTTGTGGGACGAGAGGTGGAGCCGACGGCAGAATTCACGTGGAAATCAAAGGCCCCGCTTCGCTGCCGCTTCTTCCTTTGGCTGGCGATGCACAACAGGTGTTGGACCTCGGACAGACTCGCGAGGCGAGGCTTGGACCACCAGGACGCATGCCCCTTCTGTGATCAACACGAGGAGACCCTTGATCATCTTCTTTTGGGATGTGTCTTCGTGAGAGAAGTTTGGCATGTCATTTGTGGAGCTCTGGGTAGGCCACAGTGGGCGCCGAACCCGGACTCAAGGCTGCGGGACTGCGGTGCCGTCACGGCTACTCCGGGACGGGAGGCGAAGGACACACGCGCTTTCCTACTGCTAGTGCTATGGAAATTTGGAAACACCGAAACGCAATTGTCTTCGATGGCGCCTCCGTCTCTTCGAAGACGCTAGCGAGCCGAATCGACACCGAAGGACGCGCATGGAAGCAAGCCGGCATCTTCAAAGGCAACATAGAACCTACTATTGAGGGTTTAGTTAGGTGGGCTGAGGGGAGAAGTTAGGCTTTGATAGTGTACGGCTAAGCCGGTGGAGTTGGTCCGCATGTAACATTTTTTGAGAAAACGGTCCGCATGTAACATTGTAACATGTAAACACCAACCTGGACGGGCTCTTGTCATCATCCCCTTTCTTTAATATATAGTACGCATACTCGTGCGTATTCGAGAAAAAAAATTATAAAACAAATCGCACATAAATGTTCCAAAAGTTTTTTTTAGGGATGTTTCAAAAGGTTGACCGAAAGCGATGTCCAAAAGACATCGTGTGTTTGTGAACGAGAGGAGTAGTTAATTAGTTAGTTAATAAAGAATGAAATTAAAGACTTGTTTACCTGGTCAATAATACACCCCGTGTTTGTAAATAGACGGTGTTTTACACATTGACATGGTCTCTACAAGTATCTTTGATTCACTTTTTCATAACTACTTCCTCCGTAAACTAATACAAGACGTTTCCTTTTCAAAAAGTAAAATAACATAAGACGTTTTAGATCACTTTAACAGAGGGTACATTCTAGTGAAATTTATGAAAGTACTTATATTGATAAATTTCATGATACTATTTTCCATTTTACAAATATACCTATTTCCATGAAAATTGCTTTTGGAGGCGAGCTCCATGGAGGCCTCCATTTGTAAAATTCAAAATTACTATTTTTACATGTCAATAAATTCTGAAAATAAATACAGATATACATGGAAGCATAATCTACATGTGTGCAAATTTGTAGGACAAAATACGTTGAGATGAGGGTTGTGCAAAAATAAACAAATCTGGGGCTTTTCAGCACATGGATACTATTCATCCTCAAAGTCCATGAATTTGTCTTTTTTGTACAAGTCGTATTTCAAGGTATTTCATCCTGAATTTTTATACACATATACATTTTATCCTTGTATACTTGCATATATTTTTTACTTTTTTTGTAAACCGGAAAGTTTGGATTTTGAATTTTTTTCCAAAATAAAGGACTCCATGGAGCCCAGTGTCACCAAAACGCCGCACTCCCTATTTCCTTTACAAGTCATCGGATGAAACTTTTGACCGGGCGGTCTTTACAAGTCATGTAGTTAGGGCATGTACAATGGTTGATAAGATAGTCTTATCTTAAGTCTTGCATGTAGTTTAGAGACGACAAAAAAAAACATGTCTACAATGGGTCATCTCTTAGCCTTATCTCCAATAATTAGTTATTCCTAAAAACGTGGTGACATAAATTATGCTAAGAGATCATCTCTTGTCTTCTCTCAAATAAGAGAAGACAAGTCTTCTCTTATGATTTCTCTCTCTTTCACCTCATCAATTATCCTACGTGACAGTCCTAAGATAGAACCATTGTACATGCCCTTACGAACGGAGATACTACTAAAAGAAATCCCCTACGTTCTCTCTCTCAAAAAAAAATCCGCTTAATTTCTATATGTAACTACTAGGTAATATCTCCCGGTATCTAGTAGTACATCATAGTAAGATACGTAAGCTTTTGGTCATACAAAAGTTACATGATGAAAGTTTGGCGGCATCTAGCGATGACACACATGCAAGACCAAGTACAATTGGCGACAAGAAATCACCAGGTGTGAAAGAGTTCCAGTACATGTCTCAGCCATTCCATGTCCTCATGCCACGATCCAAACACCCTTCGCTTGTTTCAAGGCTGCCTTTGTTTTGAGGTTTGCTTACGTGGTACTCCCTCAGTTTTTATGTACTCCTCATATTACCTTTTGTTCCAAATCAAATTTTATACTGTTTGACCAAATATATAGAAAACAACATGTAACATTTATAATAACAAATATATATGATGTGGAAATATATTCAATGGTACATGTACTGGTATTGATTCGGTATTGTACAGGTCATTTTTTCTACAAATTTAACAAAGTTTGACTTCAGACAAAGTTAATATGCAGAGTAAACTTTTTTTTCAAGGAGGGAGTAGGCCAACATCCCCGGCATAATCACATTTTATGCCATCACATCAAGTAATAAGAGAAAAGGTCTCAGTTAGTAGAACATTGTTAAAAAGATGGTTACTTCTCCGTTACATCATCAGGCCTGGTCACAAGTCTCCATTCAAAGCATGCACATCTCATTCAGCAACTCAAGCAATGTTAAAAGTATAGAGAGGCAGGTAAGCAACCTGTACTAGTACCTGATAAATAACCCCAATCCACACGCTTTGACTTTGGACATTCTGCACGGTATATATAACCTGTCATCACGCAATAACCTTCACCCACCATACCATTGCCGATTCAAACATCAGTGATTAGACCAGACCAGGTGCAACCCCAGGCACGTGCTTTGCTTACCATTTCTACATCTATATATCCAGGACGTACAACTACACCATCTGAATATTCACAAAAGTTATACCGCTACATTTTTACAGCAAGAGGCCAAATAGTTACAGCGGAGCCTCTGCGGCTAACCTAGAGCTTGTCTACACTCTCCCCAAATTTTTTTTACCTCGTATGTATTTTTCTGACTCCCAGCGCCTAATAGGAAGAAACGGGCAAAAATAACTGGGATGAAGCTAAAAGGAATGTACAAGTGCGCCATCCCTCCCCTCGCTACGGATCAGCAGCCTACGTTAGGTAGTATCTTGTTACTGCGCTAGCCCCTCGATCGCACTTTCGGCGTCGTTGAGCGCATCCGCGCTTTCCTCGAGAAGGCGATTGCAGATCTTCAGGAGCTGGTCGGCCAGCGGAGGGATGTGAGGATGCCGCGTGTCATTGTAAATGTGCGCGTTCGTT